GGTACTTGTGAATGTGACCTTATTTAGAAATAGAGTCTTTGTAGACAATCAAGTTGAATTGAGTAAAAATCAATTGGGGTTCACCCTAATCCAATGACTGACGTCCTTATATGAAGAAGGAATTTTGGTCATAGAGACATGCAGAGAGAGCATCTTGTGATGACAGAGGAGAGATTGGAGTGATGGAAGCCAAGAGATATCAAGGATTGTTGGCAACCATCAGAAGCTGGAAGAGGTAAGGAAGGATCCTCCCCTAGAGCCTTCACATAGAGCATTTACCAGACCACATCTTGATTTTGGACTCCTACCCTCCAAAACTAGGAGGGAATTATTTTTCTGCTGTTTTAAGCCATCAAGCTTGTGATACTTTGTTACAACATAAACAAATACAGACATCAAAATAGTGTTTTATATGTTCAAGAAGTTACATAGAGACAGGGAAAACATGAAAAAGGCTTAACTTGAAATTATAGATATGAAAATGTTACCTAAGATGAAGTTTATACTGATTGGATTAGTGGCATGTCAAATATTTCAGGAAAAAAAAAGATTTTGAAGATATAGGAAAAGAAACTATGGAAAGTGAAAAACAGAAAAAGAAATTTTCTTTTGAAAAAAATGAAAAAATATCAATGAGCTCTTTGTAAAACAACTTTAAGCAACCCAATATAAGTGTAATAATCAATACTCAAAAGAGTGGAGAGAGATAAGGGGATAGAAAAAATAGAAATAATGGCTAAAAAATTTCCAAGTTTCATGAAATCTTTAAATACACAAATCCAAGAACCTCAAAATACTGCACAAGAAATATGAAGAAAAATACACCAAGGTACATGGTAATCAACTGGCGGTAAAGTAAGTCTTAAAAGCAGGCTGAGGGAGAAGAAAAAAATTGTGTTACAAAAGAACAAAGAAAATTATGACAAAAATTCATCATTGGAAACAATGCAAGAAACTAAACAATGGAACAATATTTTTTAAATCCTGAAAATGAAATATTTGATTCTTTAAGTAGCAATGATATACTTTTAAAAAGAAGGCAAGATTAATACTTTTTCAGACACACAAAAGCTGAAATCATTCATAACCAGCAGATCTGTACTGCAAGAAATGTTAATGAAAGTCTTTTAGTATTTAAATTCCTTGAAAAGGTAATTGGCTATCTTAACAAATAATGTATTATGGGGCTCATAATTTATGTGTAGGTAAAATGCAGGGCAGAAGCATAAATAGAAGTCAAGTTCTTAGATCATACAAAAAGTGGTGTAATATCAACTGAAGGTAGACTATAATAACTAAAATGTATACTATAAACCTAAAACAGCTGCTATGATAACCAAAGAGTTATAGCTAAGTCAATAAAGATAAAGTGGAATGATGAAAGTTTTTGAACTATTCCAAAAGGAGATTTTAAAAGAAAAGGAGAAAAAGATTCAAACAAACAAACAAGTGGGACAAATAGAAAACTAATAGCAAGAATATGGACCTAAACTTATTATCAGTTATGATATCATATGGAAATGATCTATACAAAATAAAAGGTAGAGATTGTCAGATTGAAAGCAAACCTAACTCTATGGTATATATAAGAAATGCATTTCAAATATAAAGACGTAGAGAGGTTAAAATAGGGATGCCTGCACGGCTTAGTTGGTTAAGTAGCTGCCTTTGGCTCAGGTCATGACCCCAAGGTCCTGGGATGGAGCTCTGCTCAGGGCTTCCTGCTCAGTGGGGAGTCTGCTTCTCTTTCTCCCTCTGCCCATCCTCCTCTTTCTCCTCCTCATCCTCCCCCTTCCCCTGCTTGTGCCAATGCTCTCAAATAAATAAGTAAAATCTTTTTAAAAAGAAGTTAAAATAAAAATATAGAAAAACAATAGCATGGTAATGATAAGCAAAAGAAAGGTGGATTGACTCTATCAATAAGTAGATTAAAGAACAAAGGATATCACAAAAAATAAAGAAGTCCATAATGTTAACAATGTTAATAATGACAAGGCATCAATTTACCAAGAAAATAACAGAGTTCTAAACATCTATATACCTGTAAACAGAATGTGAAAATACATGAAGCAAGAACTGGCAAATGCAATGGAAAAAAAGAAAGATCCTCAATGTAGTAAAAAAAAATTCAGTACCCACATTTCATAATTGACATAATAAGTAGATAAATCATAAAAAATAAGTAAGACTTGAACATTATCAACAATTTGACCTATTGACATTTACAGAATGCATGCTTTGACAACAGCAGGATACATTTTTTTCTAAATGTATATTGATCACTTGATCAAAATTGACCACATTCTGAGTCACAAGTGTCACTAAATTTAAACGTTTTCAAGTCATAAAAACTATATTTTTTCTCTAAGTGAACATTTTTTAGAAATCAGTAACAGAACAACATCTGGAAAATCCCCAAATATTTGGAAACTCACACACTTCTAAATAACCCATGAATCAAAGAAGAGATTTTTTAAAATTAGGAAGTGTTTTAAGCTGAAGGAAAATAAATTTACAAGATATCAAAATTTATTAGATATCGCTAAAGTAGTACTTATAGGGAAAATATATAGCACAATATATCCTTAATATTATCAAAGTAAATGTCTCAAATCAATACCTTCAGCTTTCAACTTAAGAAATTAAGAAGGACAGGGGCACCTAAGTGTCTCAGTCTATTAAGCATCTGACTCTTGATCTCAGCTCAGGTCTTGATCTCAGGGTCATGAGTTCAAACCCTGTTTGGGTTTCATGCTGGGTGGGAGCCTACCTTAAAGAAAAGAAAAGAGAAAAGAAGCTAGGACAAATCCAACCTAATGGATGCCCCCCCCCAAAAAAAATAGCAAAAGAAAAAAGGGAAAGAAAGAAAAGAAAACCAATAAAGATCAGAGCATGTATCAATGAAATAGAGCATGGAAAAGCAATATAGAATCTATGGACAAAAAGCTGCTTCTTTGAGGACATTAATGTTTTAAATTATTGGCATAAATATGCCCATATTCTTTTGTCATCCTCTTCATAGCTGTATACTATGTTCTAATGTCAACTCTCTCATACCTGAAATGGGTCCTGTGTGTCTTTTTTTTCTTTCATTTCTAATTAGCACACCTAGAGCTTCTATTTGGATCAGGATGGGACATCAGAAAGAGACAGGCAATAAATGAGTAAACTAAGCAATAACAATAACCAGTGATAAGTGGTTTGGGGAAAATGAAATGAGGCGATATGATGGGGGGAGTCACTAGACAGGACTTTCAGAAGATACCTTTCTGAGGCAGGGATATTTAAAGCAAGATTTGAATAATGTGAAGATCTAAGGGCAGATTGTTCTAGCATAGATTTCCAGAGACAACAAATCCTAGAGGTTAATATATATATATATATATATATATATATATATATATATATATATAATATATATAATAAACTCATCTTGTTCCAGGTCCAGCAACATGATGGTAGGGACTGGCTGGACCTTGAATGGTTGAAATCAGCAAACTTTAGCCTCCAGGTCAAATTCTGCCCCATGCCTGTTTTGGTACAGCCTATATAAGCTAAGAAGGGCTTTTATATTTGTAGAGAGTTGTGCAAAAAAAAAAAAAAAGAGAGAGAGAGAGAGAGAGAGAAGAAGGAGGAGGAGACAATGTGACAAAGATCCTATGTGGCCCACAAAGCCTGAAAATATTTACTATATGGTTCTTTACAGAAAAAGTTTACCAGCCTCGACAGTAGGGCCTTACTAGTTAGGTTAAAGAGTTTACATACATTTTCTCTTTAAAAAAAAAAAAATTTCCTTTTTTTTTTTTTTAGAAGAGTATTCCATTGTATGGGTGTATCACTGTCATCCATTACATAGCCAATGGAATTTGGGCTTGTTTCCATTTGGGGGTGATCATTAATAAAAGCCTATATACATTTTATACACATATACAATATGTGTATATATCCCCTTAACCTATAGTCTAAGATCTAGAGCATTCCCATAATCCCTATGAGTTCTTTCCTGGCTTTTTTCTGATCAAGGTCTAATCGTTATTCGGATTTCCATCTCTCGTCCCTGTCCCAGAAGAACATATAAACGGAATCACGCAGTATGTGAGGAGCTGAGCCTCTCTTCACTCCAAGGAGAATTAGTAAGCAACCAAAGACCTCGAAGAGGAAAATTGGGACAATCTGATTTACTCTTTTAAAGATTTTATTTATTTATTTATTTATTTATTTATTTATTTATTTATTTATTTATTTATTTACTTACTTACTTACTTACTTACTTACTTACTTACTCATTCATGAAAGACAGAGGGGTGGGGCGGGGGCAGAGACACAGGCAGAGGGAGAAGCAGGCTCCACGCAGGGAGCCCGACGTGGGACTCGATCTCCTCCGGTCTCCAGGATCAGGCTCTGGGCTAAACCGCTGAGCCACCCCGGGATCCCCCCTGGTTTATGCTTTTAAGTTCTCTTTTTGGCTACTGCGCGAAGATTGATAAGTGGATGATAGTGTGCCATCTTCGGGGTGGGGGGACGAGGTGGGGGCAGAATGTGGCCCGGTGAAACTCCCGGGCCGACCAGAATCGACGTGGGACCAGTCCCGACGTGGGACTCGATCCCCGGTCCCCAGGATCAGGCCCTGGGCTGAAGGCGGCGCTAAGCGGCCGAGCCACCCGGGCTGCGGGGCAAGCCGGGTTCGGCGTCGCGGTCAAGCGCCGAGGCGTCCTGCAGTTCGCGGCTCGGCCCAGCAGGTGGCCCCAGAGCGCAGCTCCCGAGTCCGAGGCTGCCCCGCGAGCCCCGCGCCGCCCGGCGGCTCCGCGCCACGGTCCCTGTGCCGGCGCCCCGGGTGCACGCTGAGGTCCGCGGGCGACGAGGAGCGGCCCGGGTGCACGCTGAGGCCCGCGGCCGCACTCCGGCTGGCCCGCCTCCCGCCTCCCGCCTCCCGCCCCCCTTCTGAGGCTTCTGAGGCCGGGAGAAGCTGCAGTCCTGCAGGACCCCCCTCCCCCCCCGCCCCCCGTCCGCCCCGGGACGGCCCAGCCGCGGGGACTTGCTCCGTCTGCGGTGCGTGCAGGTGGTCCGGGCAGGCGCTGCCTTGGGAGGCTCCCCACGGGAGGAGGCGGATCGCTGGGTCCGAACCAGGCTCTGCAGGGAGGTCCTGGCAGGAGCGCGCGGGGCAGGTTGCAAAGCAGAAGGGACAGCCCGGACTGGCGTTGAGGCTCAGGGAACCGACGGAGCGGGCTGCGTGGCTCGGGGCACGGAGCGTGAAGCAATTAGGCTTGTTTGGGCGGAGAGTTGCCCAGGGAAACCGAACACTTAAGAGCCACTTCTTTGCGCTCTCCAGCCTGCTCTTGGGTGCTGGAGTCAGAGCCCCGGCGAGCGCGCTCCCTCCTCCCACGCTCCCTCTGCCCTTCAGTCTGCGGGAACCCGGCGCAGAGGGGCCCAGACCACCGTGGAGGATGAAGAAATAGCTTGGGACCCTTGGAAAATGAGGCCGCCGCCCCTGCTGCACCTGGCGCTGCTTCTCGCCCTGCCCAGGAGCCTGGGGGGGAAGGGGTGTCCTTCTCCCCCCTGTGAGTGCCACCAGGAGGATGACTTCAGAGTCACCTGCAAGGATATCCACCGCATCCCCACCCTGCCACCCAGCACGCAGACTCTGTGAGTACCTGGGGGAGGAGAGGGTAGGATCCAGAGGCACGGGCAGCCGCAAAGGTGGACAGAAGTGCACCAAAGGAGCTTGAGAGTAGGCCAAAGGCGTGTGTGTGTGTGTGTGTGTGTGTGTGTGTGTGTGTGTGTGTGTGTGTAATGAGTAAAAACTCAATTTCCCAAATTTCAGATTGGTGGCACCCCTGTTACTCCTAACACAGGAAAAGGTAACAAAACTTTGGTACAAGTTGAAAGTGAGAGTTGTCCTTCCTCAAGAGCTGCTGTTCTTCACGTTGCCTAGGCCCAGCTGAATCTGGCCTTCACTTCAGGTATTAATCACATTAATAGCAACTCAAGAATTGACCTCTAAGGCAGGGGCCCTGCCTTTCTTTTTTTTTTTTTTTTTTAAGATTTTGTTTATTATTTATTTATTCATGGGAGAAGAAAGAGAGAGACAGAGACAGAGACACAGGCAGAAGGAGAAGAAGGCTCCATGCAGGGAGCCCCCGACGTGGGACTCCATCCCGGGTCCCCAAGATCAGGCCCTGGGCTGAAGGCGGCGCTAAACCGCTGAGCCACCCAGGCTGCCCGGGCCCTGCCTTTCAACTCTGAATTCCTCACACCCAGCACAAGGCCTGGAACTAGGTTGGTGCTCAAGCCAAAGCCTGTTGAATGAATAAGTGAACACATGACTATGCTAGTCTCAGATTGTCCATTGTGTGACGAGGAGAAAAAATGCCAGAGACATATCACTTCTTCAGAGGCTGCTTGAAAGGGGACAAAACTTCAAGTCATGGAAGGGAGATGTGGCTCTGACCGTGGAAGGGAATGTGGAGTCATCCTGTGTATGGTTCCACCAAATGTTGAGGAGAAAGGATAATATTGGAGGCAGAGCAATGAGGGCAATGAATGAGGAGGGAGGAAACCTACATTGTCTTCATCCCTCTCTCATCAACTGTGAAATCAGGTGAGATCATTTATTTGGGAGGACCCAGGATTCCTTCTGGGTAAAAGAGAGGATTCAAATAGGTGCATTCTGATGTCTGTGATGCAAGTCAGGGGATCCACTGAATCACAAAGAGGAAGAACTGGATAAAGACAGTAGTGGGGAGAATGTGACCCTGAAATTAATGGGGGGGGCAGAGGAGGGATGGTGTTCTGAGGAATGAATTTATTCTGAGATATGGAAGAGAAATTGATGAAAAGCATGAGTGAAATGGCATGCTCATTTAGACAGTGGCCACACACACCTGCAATAGTGGCAAAGTGACTTTCAAATCTTTGGCGGGGGGTGGTGTGTGCAGTGGAACTCTTTTGACAAAGGAAAGCTTATGAGAGAAGTCAAGTATGTAAAGCTAGCAATTATGTTGTGCTTATTGCTGTCCCCAGCACCTTACACGAACTCACCCACTGACTCCTCACAAAATCCAGCTGAGTAGATAATTTTACGATTCCCATTCTATAGGTGGGGAAACTGAGGCACCAAAAGTGAGGCAATTTGTTCAATGTCATACAGTTTGTAAGTTGTGGTGCCAAGATTTGAAATAGCACAGAGCTGCCTTCTGAAACACTCTGTTCCAGATGAAAGCAAATCTCACCCAGCATTTCCCCAGTATGGTCAGAAGAAGAAAAGAAAAGAAAAGAAAAGAAAAGAAAAGAAAAGAAAAGAAAAGAAAGAAAAGAAAGAAAAGAGGAGAGAAAATATGTAGAAACTAAGAAAAGGAGGTTGGGGGAGGAAGGAGAAAACCAGAAAGGCGGAGGGAAGGAAAAAAAGAGGAAGGGAGGGAGGACAAGAAGACTCTATCTAGGGTATAGGGAGCATTTCCTGCTGAAATAAACCAGATCTTTGTCATTAAAAACCTGTTCTGAGCAGTAACCACTTTCTGAAACTCGATGCTGTGTAACCACTGCCTAGCTGTTTTACAAATTATTATGGTGCTGAGAGCATTTTTTCCTAAGCCTTATCTTCTATCCATGTATTATGGTGCTGAAAGGTAAACATATTATCCCTTTCTGCATTACTCATACACTTGCCTCGTGGTCTGGTAGACGGATGGGAGAGAGCTGCACTGTTTGTGGTTCTCACTGAAACAGTGGTTCTGAATCTTCTTCTCCACTCTCCCTCACCAAGGGAGTATCATTCACTCTTATTACAACAGTGGTTCTGAGTGTAGGAAGTAAGGGAGAACAGCTATACCTATTCTCCAGTGGAACATTCTAGAATCTTTGATATGCAGTTAGTTTAAAAAAAAAATCCTCCTGAGAATTACTGATTTAAAGGAAATTAAATGAATCCAGTAGAATAAAACTAAACATTTAAATGTTGGCATATAATTGTAGATCATATTACCTCAATACCAAGGGTAGCAAGATGGACCCATTACTCTCATTCAGAGAATTGCCATTTGTTACCTGTGTGCACAAGAGGACCATCCCTTCTCTGAATGAGGAGGATGGGGTTTGACTGTCTTTCTGGATTTATGTGGATTCTTCTTCGAGAACGTGCTGCCTTGTTTTGTCTTGTCCTTTGACCTACCTGCTTTCAGGTTCATGATGGTGACACTACTTCCACCCCCTCCAACTCCTTCCAACTCCCGTGGAATGGTGGTTTGTCCATCACACACTTGTGTTCCTTCAGAAATGTTTCTAAAGGAGCTGTTGAGGCCATTCTTGTTTTCGGGTTCTGAATTTTGCTTCCACTGTTTGTGTTCTGCATCCGTGGTTCTAACTGATGGACCAGCCCAGTGTTTTCTAAACTGAAGGCATTCACTCACCATCTTCAGCATTTTTGCCCTATCTGTGCTCCACCTGCGCTATTACTCACTCGGTATCTTTAAGCAACTCACTTCTTTAATGGAAATAAACTTATTTAGAAAGCTTATATCATGACTAAAAATGGGAAATTAGCTTATATCATGACTATAAATGGGAAATTAGCATGACTTGCTATAAAAAGGAGGTAATCCAGAAAGCTAAATACATTGGAAACACAAATGTAATTATATTCTAGCTCAAGACTATTGCCTGTGAATGCTCTAAGCCTGAGGTTGACTTTCTTTTGTTAAAAGGAAAGAATGATAAGTCTTAGAGAAATATTAAAGAGATACCAACTCAACATGCTGTCCTTGATGGTATCAGAAAAATTGAAAACCATAAAAAAGGGAATCACTTTTTCATTGTGATTCAATATTATTTAATGCCATATGGGTATTCCACCTAAAGCAATCTCATGCCATACCTGTTTTCCATGCTTAGGGAAATGTGGATTTCCAACCTAAAGAAAAGCTTTAGCACCCACATGCTTGCCAAACACACCCCAATTATTTTGTGCCTTACAAGGATGGCATCACTTCATGCTTCTAGACTCCATGATTTATTCTCTTTTTATTCTGTGTGTGTATGACTCAAGGTTTTTGATGGAAAGTAACAGGAAACCCAGTCTGTCTAGCTTAAGGAGGGAATAAATGTTCTGAAACAATAACATGTAATTTACAGAATCATTGTAGATTCAGGCTTTCAAAGTAAGCCAAGGCCCAGGGCAGGCAGGCAGTTGGAGCCATAGCCAACCATCTGGTTGGAACAACTCCATAGACAACACCACAACCACAGCCACTGGACATCTGTGGTGATGGGCACCTCGTTCTGTAGCTGCTGTCTGTGTGCAGCCATCAGTAATTTCTCAACTGTTCCTGCCACTTTGTTTTTTTTTATTGGTGTTCAAATGCCGACATATAGAATAACACCCAGTGCTCATCCCATCAAGTGCCCCCTCAGTGCCCATCACCCAGTCACCCCCATCCCCTGCTCACCTCCCTTTCTACCACCCCTTGTTTGTTTCCCAGAGTTTGTTCCTGCCACTTTGAATCACCAGCCAGAAAGTGATATCCATGATGGGAACATCTGTCTGCCATAGGTTACTTGCTGTGTCCTAGCTGCTAGGGGGGAGTAGGAGGAGGAAGGTCCCTTTTCTTTTACTTTTGGTGTCGACAGTGGAACCAGTAAAGAACTGGGTCTTTCTATGGTAGCACACACACACACACAATGGGGAATTTCCCACAAAAGAGGAGCTATATCCCCTCAAGATTGCTCATCACTTCCTTCATCCTACAAATATTTACAAGTATTGGCTATGTTCCAGGCACTGTGCTGATGCTCTAGATTTGGTGGGGAATGACATCAGCATGTCCCTGTCCTCAGGGATCTTACCATCTAGTGTGGAAGCTGACTATTAATCAAATAATCACATAAATATATCATTCTGTAAATATGTTGAGATTATACTTGGTAGGGATGGGGGTGGGGACGGACTTAAACTTGGGTTCAGGGTAGGTTTTGAGCTACATTCTGAGGCAGTAGAATTTGGGCAGAAGGAGTTTCAGGTGTGGAGGTGGAGGGCAAGAAAATGGTGCTCCAGAGGATGGAACTGCTCATTTGAAGAGTGTTGAAGAATTCTAACCTGAATAGTCAGTTTGATTTATTCACTTAGAAAAAAGATACTGATGATCAACAAAATATGTTACTACTTTCTTTGTAACGCAATACAGGTCAAGGTGAATTCTTATGTCAGTGGAGGCAGTCTTTAAGCCAAAAAAAAAAAAAAAAAAAAAGACTTATTGAGTAATGACTGGTTTTAAAGACAAATATTTGATTCATTAAAGTAATAAATGTAATGACTAGTTCTTTCTTGAGTTTTCCATGTGTTTACTATTTTATTTATGAATTTATAAATTAATTATAATAATTACTTCAAGGAAGATTTTACAATTTAATATTTTAATAAATTAGTTACTAAAAATAGCACGAGTACAAATTTAATATATTTTCTTTTAAAGCCTTTGAATGTGCTTTCCAAGTACTCAGAAAGTTCTAGAAAATCTATTAAATTAAGCATTATAAGTGCCAGGAATCCTAAGTATTTTAGAATCCCAGTGCTATTTATAGGGGCAGGAGAGTAAAGGTAAAGTGCACTCTTTCTGAAGTGAGATCATCTTGGTTGAATGCCTTGCTCTACC